GGCGGCCGCGGGTTCCTGGGCCCGCGCGTGCCGGCCGAGGTGGAGGCCATGGCCCGGGGAGTGCAGGACGTGGGCAAGGAGACCTTCCGGAGGCTCCTCAAAGGTAGGGCCCGTGCGGGGCCCGCGGGGCGCCGCCCCAGCGCGGAAGGGCCGCGGGGGGGTCGCAGCCAGAGCCCATGGGCCGGAGCCGCGTTCCCCGAGGATGCCGTGGATCCTCACGGAAATGTAAGGACAGCTATTAGAGGGCTTCCAAAGGAGACCAGATATGGTGAAAGGCCTTAGGGGGGAAGCCAGGGACTGAGGTCACTTGGTCTGTTCTACCTGGAGGGGACTGAAGGGAGACCTCAGAGCTGGCTACAACTTCCTCACGAGAGACAGACACGGATGCCCTCTCTGGTGACCAGTGACAGGACACGAGGGAACAGCATAATGCTGTGTCACGGCACTTCAGGTTAGGTATCAGGAAAAGATTCTTTCCCTAGAAGGGGTGGGGCACTGGAACAGGCTCCCCAGGAAAGTGGTCGCAGGACCAGACTGACAGAGCTCCAGGAGTGTTGGGACAATTCTCTCAGGCACATGACAGGATTCTTGGGGTGTCCTGTGCAGGGCGGAGTTGGACTTGATGATCCTTCTGGGTCCATTACAACTCGGAATATTCTGTGATTCTGTGACAGCTGGAGAGCTGCAGCTTCCTGGGGCACTTCCCATTGCTTTTCCCAACAGGAAGCTAGAGCTGAGCTTTAAATAAAATGAGGAGCTTGACTCATTGTATTCTACAATTCTGAAATCTGTGATAATGAGGAACAGAGTTCTCCAGCTGTGGATGGCCCCCAAAGTCAGCTGAGTGCTGTTAAAGTCATTTCTCTCTCATCTCTGTGTCCCAGAGCCAGCAGGCCAGTCACTGTCAGGTTGTGTGTGGCAGTCAGAACTGTGGGCATCTACAGAACGTGCACGACACAATACAGCAACCCCAAGATGCAGGTGTCCTACTGAAGTTGAGGCTGTAAGATTGACAAGGATTGATTTAATTTTTGTCTGTAAGGCTTCTCCTGGTGGTGAGAATTTTCTCAAGGCACCTTTCACCATCAAAATCAAGAGTTACACTGTTGAGTAAATTAGGGTATGTAAAACAATCATGGAATAATGGAATAGTTGATGAGCCAAAGCACAGCTTGCTGGAGGGTAGCTGCTGCCAAGTGTGGTGTGACCCTGGCATGTTCTCTCAGCTAACATCTTGTCAGGGATTTTATTTTTTATTTAAAGGACTCAAAACATCTGGTAGCTGGTTTGTCTTTAAAAGTGGTGCTGCACAGTAGCAGAAATGAACAATGTATTCAGGGGTTCCTTGTAATACTTGAAATAATAAAGCTGTGTATAGGCAGAGACATTTAGGGCAGAAGTCAATACACAAGTTGAACGATATTTGCTGTCTAGTGCAGGGATAGAGACTGAAAAGCCTTATCCATGCCAGGAAGCCTGACTGTCTGGGTTTAATTTTGGTGTAAATTATCACCTGCTTTCAGGTGTGCAATAAATGCTTCCTACCATAGGGGGGGCAGACAGTCCTCCAAACTGCCTGGAGCCAGGGCAGTGACCCCAGTGCAGATCCTCCTGGAGCAGGTGGGCACAGCCTCCCTCTGGTTATGCAGAGCTGGCACAAATCTCCCCTCACTGTCTGCTCTTGCTGGCCTGTGACTCACAGTTTGCAGGGCTGCAATTTTTCCTCTGAAGGTTTTGTAATCTTTGAATTTCAACACTTTATATCTGCATTGCTCTTCACTTGGGTCAGGTTCATTTTTTGAGGCTGTTGCTGTTACTCTACTGCTAAACAAAGACTAATGTAAAAAAATGAGATGTAGGTTCATGTGCCTGGTCAGTTCATGATGTAAAAACTGCATGTTAACAGTATCTGAGGATTATTTAGACAGTGTTATTGCAGGCTCTGCTATACTGTCTCAATAACTGATATAATTTTTGTCTGTGAGGCTTCTCCCTGTGGTGAGAATTTTCTCAAGGCACCTTTGACCATCAAAATCAAGAGCTATGCAGTTGAGTAAATTAATGATCTTTCTTTGCTTTCTTGTTCACAGTCACTGTTAATGCATTGGAAGGAAAAGACTGCAAGGAATCTGTCAGGCTGATTGCAGAAAGTGCTAATCTTTCAGAAGAGCAACTTGCTTTCCTCATTTCTGGCATGTACACCCTCCTCCGAGAAGCATTGAGACTCCCTTTATCAACTTTCAAACAAGAAGTAAGTTCTGGGAGTACTTGGAACCCTGATAAGGTAAAAGCTGCGTCAGACACAAGTCATCATCTAAATCTCATTTGCCTGGGTGGGAAGCTGCACATAAAAATGGTTCTCCAAGTTAAGGTTGTTGGAAGAAACTGTTAAAAATCTGGAACTTAATATTTCACTTGTTGGGTAGATTTAGAGTAAGCTTTTTGAAAAAATATTTAAGCTTTAGGAAAAAGATTCCTGTATCTACTTCTGCTTCAACATCTTGTTTGCTGCGTATGTTTGTTTTCACTTATAAATTAAAAACACCAAAGAAAGCATAGCAAAATGTTATTTCGTAGGCATCAACACTCTTTCTAACTGGGTGTTCACACATACCACTCATTTTTGTCCACGCTTATAATTTCTCATATTTGTTTAGCTCCTCTGTTCATATTTATGCCATAGAGGAAGGAAGGTCTTATGGCCAGAACATTATAGTGGAATTTGGAAGAAAGTTCAATTTCCACTTATGCTGTGCATGTTTGGTGTGAATATGTACATGCCTGCCATGTTCTCAATCCCTATCCCTTCTTCATGGCTATTTTCTTCATTTTTCATGTTCCTTTACCTTACAATTTTCTCATTTTCATGTGAGTGAACCACTTCTAGGTTTCCAGTAGCTCTTGTTTAAGACACAGCTTCATATTTACCCAGGCATACTGGGAAAGCTTCCATATTGCAGGAAATGTAGTGGAAGTATTCTTTTAATATACAGACCTTATCTTTTGCCATTTACTTTTTCTTGTCATAGTTTAAACAAGTTACTGCAAAATGTATTTGAGAATAAGGGCATATAGTTAATCTAAAAGAAAAATGTTTCTGGATAGCTAAATAAAAGAAGTGGCAGAGACATTGTTTTGAAAATTAAAGGCTTCCAACATATTTAGGTCTTTAAATCACAACTTGATTGAACACCTCTGAAAATTCTTTTCAATATATTACTAGTAATTTCAAAACTACTGGCACTCAAGTCTAAAATTTTTGGGGAGAGATACCAAATAAGTAACCACTATTGTTTCAGTAGGTAAGAAATGATCATTTAAGGCTATATCATGTAAAATTTCATCTTCCTTGTCTTTTTAGGTTTTTAAAGAAGACTTGAAGGAGCTCAGGTATGCCTGTTTACACCAGTTCTTTTAATGTTTGTTTTTTCATGGCTTTTATGTAACTGCTTCCCCAAATTAACTTTTTTACACAAAAATGTTGGTATAAAAATTAGCTGTAAATACCTCATAATGCATCTGTTGCCAAACATCATGTAAAGCCAGAGGAAAAAAACAGGTGTTGTGTAAGACTTGATTTAGCACTGAGCATAAAGAGTTTTATTTCACCTGCTGAGGAGAATGATCTGATTTAGTCTGTAATGTAGGTTATGCAAATGTGAATGACCTTCTCTCTGCCATCCCCACATTGCCCTGCAATAGTTTTTTAAGTGTTTGGTAAGACAGTAGTAGCATTTCAGAAGCTAAGAACTGCCCTACTTCTTTCCTTCTTTGAAAGGTCAATGATATAATGCTCATGAAACCCTACTACCATGTTCAGCCATGATTTCTCCTGCCCATTACCCAAGAAATCATGACCTTTGTTACAGCCTTTTCCAAAATCTCTATCAGCCTTCCATGAGTATCTCTGAAGGGATCATATTCTAAAAGCTAGATATCAGATGCTAATATTTATAGGTTTTACCTTATTTCTATATTCAGTAGCAATGAGAGAATAACAGCAGTTCATGTTTTCTTCTGTAGTGAAACCTCTGAACCAAGGCTTAATTATTTTAAAACACTATTTTCACACATTTCTTTAACATTCTGATTGCTACCTAGGACAAATAGATATTTCTAATTCTGTCTTTTTTCATCCTTACTTTAACCTGTACGTCAGCTTTCTCTTCATAAGCAGTTAAGTCATAAGTATGATTTACTTTATGAGCAACTTCAGGCAAACTAAAACTGCAGACATAATCAGGGTGTAATGAATGAAAGGTGTCATTTGGGCCATAGTGAAAGGTGCCTTACAAGTCGATACAGTTTTGTCTGCAGCTCGGTGCTGGAGTTTGGCCTGCCTTTTGTCTTGAGAGCTCAAGTGCAAGCTGCTGCCTGTGCCACAACATGAAGTTCACACCCAGGTTAAAGTAGGTCAGTAAGAAACTGACTAATTGCTTTTGACCCAGTGGAAGCTGGTGTTTTTTGAGGTGTACACACAATGTACCAAGTTTGATTACAGAATAACGAAGAATACTAAAAGCCCCATGCCAAATTCTCTGGGATTGGGTGAATATTCCTCTTTTGAGCACTGGAGAAAGTTGGTATAGGAGTGTCAGAAGTCACTGTCTGGGCTGGCTGTGTCTAGAAATGCAGACTCCCAGGTTCCTGTCCTTGTAATTTGACCATACTTTAATGACTTACACTTTTGTAGCTGTGTTTGAGGTTTTTCTTCTCACATAATGGTTTGTTCATACATTTTACTCAGACACTTTTCAGTCTGGATGATCTTTTTTATATCTTGATACATCTTTTTATCTTACTGTTCTGGTTAATAAGGCTGATCTAGCAGCAATAGTTAGGTAACTGCATTTGTGCTGCTTGCAGACTTGAGTGTTTTATGTGATGCTAGTTGCTGCTATGCTCTCATTATTTTTATTATTCATCTCATTCTCAGTATTTGGACTCTTCCAGACTTCCATCTTTGACTATCTTACTTCCTGTGAGTAGCTCTCTTCACCTTGTGGCTAAACTTTTAGAAGACTAAATAGCTTATTCTATTCTCAAGCATAGAAATTTGGTAGCACCTTCATTTCCTCTGGGAAACATAATTTCCTATGTTTCCCAGTGAGCTTGGGTTTGGAGATGAACTACTTGCTTGTTTTCAAAGCACTTTCTAATTGCATTTAGACACTTAGCCTGCTGCATTGGCCATCCTGTGATCAAAAAACATGACACTGGTTGAACAGTGTTGTCTTGGCATTATTGGTATCCAGTGTTTGGGTAGGTATTTTGCCTTTGAAGGCAGAAAAGGCGCCTATAGACCTCTTTTTTGTTCTCTATTCTTTTAAAATGTTTGAACTCTGTGCTATGTAACTTTTTTTTTTTTTCACTTCTTGCATTCTGTTTTGTTTCTTTTGGTGAACCTAAAGCTTGAGCTAATTCTGCCATATAATATCTTGTAATTCTCAATTTTCTGGTGAGGTACCACCTCCTTGATCTTGGCTTCTAGTTTTGATAAAGAGAGAGAGGCTGGAATACATGCCCACTTCCAATTAACTAGATTAAAAGAGTTGTAATTCCCTATTTCTTAGCCTAAGTGGCTGAGCCAGTAGGAATAAATTCACAGTAAATTGTGGGTGCTTTTTTTTCCCCTCCCCTTGCAGATTATTTAATAACTTTATGACTCAGGCGAATAACATGGGATTGAGACATCTTCACGCATTTTCTGCCCTTTGAGTTCCTTCCTCAGAAGGTTCCACTGAAAAGTGATTGCCATCTGTAGTTCAGGCTGTACTGTGCCATGTTCTATCTTATCTGTGTTGTGTGTGACTGGCCTTATGTTGGCTTGAGCCAGGAACAGAATTTTCATCAAAATCGTTGGCTGCAAATATAGGGCAAAAATAATGCAAACCCAAAGGTAGTGTTAATGCTTCTGTTTTAGTAATGCTCTTGGATCAAGTGTTGTGGTAGGTATCATCATAATCATATTACAGCCCACTGTCTCCAGCTATTCCACTACATGGTCATCCATGTAGCGTCAGGATTGGCTAAATAATACACTTGCATGAAAGTATAAGTAATGTTTGCAGAAATAGTCTTGTCTCATCTGAAAGACAGACTCTTGCAGCCAAAAAAGTGCTGTTCCAGTGCTTGCTAAAATGAATTTCTTTTTATCCAAGCACTATTTAAAAATGTGGTTTAACCCTGCTTCTTCCTTCATGAATTCAAGCTGTAGTAATTGCTGTTTCATCTTCCCACTGTGTGAGTTGATGAGTTGTTTTTTCTCTGGTCATTAGACACTGTAAGCTCTTTAGGACAGATAACTTCCTTGTTTGCTTTGATTTTTCTTTGATACACTGCTGTGTGTCTCGAGCCACTGGTGAGTAATGTCTCTGGGCACTGATTCATGGTGAGTGCTGGATTTAACTGTGGCAGCAGCAGCAGCAGCAGTGACTTCTCCCCCTTGTCCAACCTGCCTCTCTGTAGGAGGTTACTGTCCCTGTGGCAAAGGCAGCTGAATGGATAGTGTTTTCTCTGTGGTCTTTGCAATTCACAGCCTGATCTATTGAACTGCAAATCAACAGTAGTTTGTTTGTAAGGCAACAGCAGTGTCAGAGGGATGGTGAAGGAGTGGAGAGGTGTAGGTAGATGGAGTGTATTAATCTCTTCAACCAATCCCCATGTATGCTCCTTTTGTAAGTAGCCTTGGTTAAAAGGGCTTCTGTTTGAATTTTGAGGAGGCAATTCCTTCTGTCTTCATTACACTTGAGGTGAAAGTGAAATGAAATGTGTAAGTTTGGGATTTTTGAAAGCATGCATTGCTGGCCTGCCTTCTACACTTGTCAGAGCCATCATTAAAATTTTTCTTGACTTTACTGAGAGAAGTTAAGCAAATACTGGGTTCTTTTGAAATACAGTGTTGTCATACAAGATAGGGTGAGAAGATGTAGCACAGTTTTTAGTGTTCTTGATATATAAACGTAAGTTGTCCTTTTGAGAGCCCTGACTGAATCAATACTGAAGTGCTTACGTAAGAGGTGGCAATTTTAAGCAATGGAAGATGGAAAATGTTGACACATTTTTTGTGTTCTGTAATAGATTTAAGGTTTTTTCAGAGAAGGCCATGTAACTGTGGTTACAAAAAAACCCTAATCGTTTCATTTTGCTCTTCTCTTTCAGAATACCAGAAGATTTCATTGTGGACTTTTCCAGTGTAGTCTTTGGTAACAGGTTAGTGTCTTCACTGTGCAGACAGCAGGGCTGCACAGAGCTCTGCTGACACAAATCCTTGGTGTATTGAAGGAACAGCAATATTTTCCAAATTAATGGGAACAAGACTTGTCCCATTATTTTGATTCAGCACAGTATAATGTCCATCATGCATGGCAGTACATGCATTAAGTATCTTTCTTGCCAATTTTCAGTTTTTCTGTGTTCATCAGTTTTTATAATGTTCTATAGACTGTGAAGTGTATCAATACCTACAGATGAAGAATGCAGTGCAGAATTACTAATTTTTGCCATCATTATCATTGCAAGTTATAGCAAAAGAAAGAGGCTACATAAGCCCTCTACATGCTCTGGTTTATGGCAGCTTTCTCAGATAGTATTTCTCAAGTCTTAATGTACAGTTCAATTGGAAAGTCACACTGAGTGACTTGATGGCAACACATAGGAGATATCAAGTGCTCTGCCTGCTGTAATTCACTTTTTAAGCAACATTCCTTGGTAACTCTAGAGGAAGTTCTAAATTGAGAGCTTTTTGAACAGCCTGTCTCTTTTGTCCATTCTTGGGATTCCCTGTTTCTAGAAGTTTCTCTACTCAACCATAATTAGTCTATTTTGCATCTAGAAATTCAAAATCTTGAACATTATGAAAATGCAAACTTGTGAAGGGCCAGGAGTCAGACTCTGATGATAATTGTGGGCCCCTTCCAACTCAGGATACTCTGTGATTCCAGTTTTCCTTCTTGAAACTTGAGGTCACTCAGCACATAACATCACTAGCCCAATGCTGTTCCAGATTCTCTGAATGGAATCCCAGTAATCATAGTTGTGGTTTTTCAGTTACCCTCAAGGGTCTGAGTGCTCTTACCAAAGCTAAAAATATTTTTCATTTCTTTGATTAAGATCTTGGCTTACAGCTAAAGGTTCCTGGAGTAAAAATAAATTCAGTCTTCTCATCTTTTCTTCGCTCTTCTGTTTGAATTATAGGTGTTAAGAATGCAAAACTCATGGTTGCAAAGTGGAAATATTGTTTGCAGTAGGGAAGGAAGATAAATTTAGATGTAATTTGAAGCATGCATGATTGTCTGTTTTCTACTGTGAAATCACGATGCTGAAAAATTTAGCTTTTTCTCATTTTGAAAGCTGTGATTATCCAGTGTAATCTTGCTCTGTGTTTTGAGACCAGAGAACACCTCAGGTTTGATTTTTAGACAGATCTGCTTTTACAATCTTAAATGTAGCACTGAATCATACATATGCGTATTGAGTTGTAAATATATATGTTTGTGATGGTAAGAGATGCATTAGCATGTGATCAAAAATTCAGTAATTCAGTATGAGCTAGATAACCTAGAAAAATCCATTTTTAATACTTCTCCTGGCATCTTATTTTTAGAGTTCTTTTCACTAAACAACAGCTCTGAAGTATTTGGCATTTGTATTTGTGTCCCCACAGTTCCACCAAGCTATGTAGACTGAAAGAAAAACTTGCCACATTGGCACCATCAAATAACTACATGAAATTAAAACTGTTTTTTAAGGGAAAGGATAACACTAACTCCCCCCTCTCTGAATGTTTATAATAAATGCACTGCTTTGTTTTTCTAATGGTGTAGCTTTACCAGGAGGGTGCATTCTGTGTGCCATTTTTCAGCATTTCACATCTACAACTTTGTTCAGCCTTGCAGTTCAGTGGCCTGCTAGGCGTGTCTTGTTATGTGTATAGGGAACTATCCAGAACTTGTCTTTAGTTTTGATACTGGTAGATCAGCTGCTGCTTCAAATTCTCTAATATTTCATTTTCGAGTTGCATCCTTTAGCAGGTGATATTATTGTCACAGTGTATCATCCTTTCCACCATAGCTTGTATGGTCTTTAGGATGGTCTCTACCTGATCCATGGTTTTACTTGTTCTGACTTCTGCCCTCTGCACAATGTGCTGACAGTATATTGCAGCTTCTGGCACAAAGTGTTTACAAAATGTAATTATAGGGTATAGGTTTTGGATGTAAGATTAATTGAATCTTTTCTGCTCCATTTTGCTATTCCTCTCAGAAATCAATGGCTTGATTAGCAGCCTGTGTAACTTCTGTATGCATGTTGGCCACTATGCACATTCTGTCATCTTTACAGGATTCTTGCAGTTCCCATTGTGGTCTTGCTCAAGCTGGAAAGGTCCTGACAGAAGGTTAACTAAGCTACAGAAGCTGTGACTCTTCCTGGGAGAATGGTACAGAAGTGCAGTCCCGACCAGAAATAAAGCTTTGTGTTTGACCACAGAAACGCCATCTCTCGACAATATTCAGAAGCTTCCCCTCTGTTTGGGAGGTCACCGTTTCTGACCTTTCCCACCACTGCTAAATAGAGTATATTTCTGTTTCTAAAACTCCTTTCTTCCCCTGGAGTGCTGGTGCTGCACTGAATGGACTGACTTCCATTGATGGGAGTTAACATGTCTTAAGGAAACGGTAGCAGTGTGGCTATTTTTAGGGAGTCTCCAACTTAAGCAATGCTCTGGCAGCAGCTCTTCACTGAGGGAAAGGCCTGTTCTTATTGTTTAATCCTGCTAATGACTGTTCTAGACTCCAGCTCCTCATGGCTGCACCCAGCTGTGGTGACCTACTTCCTATCCAGGAGTTGACAGAAAGAACCAGCTGATCTACTTTTTTTGCTCATTCCTTTACCATGCTATTAGGAATGTGTGTCACTTCTGACACCCAAACCTGACCCAAACCACCTCCCCCCTACCAAAGAGATAATTTCTTTCTTATATCACCTTTGCAAAATGCAGGATGCTTGGAGGATCTCAGCCTGTGAGTCCTGTGTACTTTATCAGATCATTAATCTTTCTGGGCAGTTTCTAAAGGCCCAGCTAACTTGCACACAAGAATCTGAGTAGTGATGTTAGACTGCCATTCCTACAGTGCTTGATTTGTTCAGAGAGGATCCCTTTCTGATGCAAAGTCTGTAATTAGATTATGTCTAGCACCATGGATAAAGGATGTAATGTTTCTTATCCTGCCCTTAGTGGAAGTACTGGAGTAGCCTTGAAATGTACCATAAATAAATTCCAGGGAAAAAAAAAAAAAAAAAAAAAAAAAAAGGGTGAGTAACACAAAGTCCTTAAAAATGAATGGTTATTATGTATTTCTATCAGATTTGTCATTTAGTTATCCAGACCTCAGGATGCTATTAAAATTTTTTAAATTGTCAACCATCTGAAGTTTAATTGCTGTTAACTGTATTTCCGCTCAGAAATAAACTAGGGCTTGATCAGCCTGATTCTTCCTGCAATTTAAGTAACAAATTAAATTCTTGGCTTCTTACACAATAGACTAGGCAAAAGTCTTGAAGGCTGTGCTGGGGTTGGCAGTGAACATTATGTAAGGAACTTGAAGTTTGTAAATTGTATTGGATCAGTAAGAACCATTGTGGGGGTTTTTTTAAGTATGCCTCAAAATACACTAATGTTATTATGTTTTAAAATGTTGCTGCTTGCCAATACTAGATGTTTTTGCTGAAGAAGAACAGTGACCTTATGCAACTGTTTTGCCTAAGTCATCTGTCTTGTCTCTGCTTGCTTGTTCCTGTTGGATTTGCATGAAGGTAAAGATATATTTGCAGGTCCCTTTCTATGCCTCACAGTTCCATACAATTGAAATAACAGGTGTACCAGGCGCCACAATGACTCTTACTAAACTTTATGGAGACATCAGTTTGCTAGAATTACACAGTCACTTGTTCTCTTTCTTCAACATGGGCCATAGTTAAGCATAAAAAAAGGGGATAATCCAAGCACAGCTGTCTTAAATCCACAAACACTCCACTTGTTCAGACCTCTTTAAGTGAGGACAGATGGAGAGAAACAAAATCCGGACAGGTTTGTACTGAGGAATCATGTTTTCTCTTTAGATTGTTTCTTCTTTTATGAATTTACATTCCAGTCTCTTACTTCTGATTCACTCTTCAGGCGTCCCACTTCCGAAGGCACAGCTCTGATACGAAGAAGTCGGCTACCAAGCATCCAGGACTTCAAGTGGAGAGTGGATGTTGCTATATCCACAAGGTATAAAAGAGAATCATGCACATCCATAGAATTACCTAAGATAAAACTGATTTCTTGTGCTGCTTAAACATTTTAATGGGGTCAAAATGTGCCATGCTATTAGGGATTGGCAGGTAGCATTAAACAGCAAGATAAAGGTGGAATTTTCTGAACCGTGTAGAGGTCAGTGTATATACACTTCACTGCTGGTTACATTTCACTCAAAGTTTGAGTCTATTTTTTTAAAACTTAATAGAGATGATGCACATCCACAGGTGCTGGTGATGGTGGCATAAATTAGTCACATTGAGCCTCAAGCAGCTAGGCAAGCTCTTAGTTTTACTGAAACAGAGAAGGGTACTCATCTATTCAACTTCCAAAGAAGAATTTCTTAATGCACATGTTAAATGACTTTTCATCTCTTGTACTCTGCTTCTACAAAGAGAGGTTTCAGGACAGCACCTTTACACTGCCATAGTTATGTTACTGGTCATTGAACTACCTCCTAGTTTCTTTCACAACAGGAGTAAAAGCCTTTAAGATCATCCTGCCTGTGCCTGCAGTGAACAGCTTCTTACCATCTGCCACAACAGAGGCATGTGGGGGATGGATCTTTGGCTAGAGCCAGAAGGAAACAGAAACCTGTTGTCTGTGCTGTTTCATCTCTTGTCTAGTTCTAAGACAGACCAAGCTGAAAGAAATTAGATGATCCAGTCTTTGTTAGTAGTGTAAATTGTTAGCATGAGTGACTTCATGTTGTGTGCCTGAATACCTGCATCTGGGAGAGAGTGCTGTCTCTGCTGCCAGAGAGGCCCGTGGCTGATCAGGGATTGTCTTCCTGAAATCAAGAAAAAAGGCTCCTAAGAGAAAGTTGGAATGGCCACAAGCTACTAGTCCAGGTGACTTTCTGATGAGAAGTGCTGTAAGCACCACACAGGTATCACTCCGTAAAAAAAGAATCTATACTGATAAGTGAGCAAAATGTCCAGATAAACATCTTCAGACACAGTGCTTGCAAGCTGAAAGCAAATGCTATGATTTGTTTTCCAAACAACACAGGAGCAATACATCACTGGTTTTTGTTTTCCTTCCTTTTAGTTTTGTTTTTAGTTAATCTTCCCCCTGGGATTTCTTGTTTATCATCCAGCAACAGCCTCTGCGGGGAGATATGGCAGCTTCGGACTGTAGTGCCTGTCTGTACCTGAGCAGGCTTTGGCAACGTCAGTTGATGGAAGCTGCACAAGAATGACTCATTTCCCTTCTTTGGGTCATCAAATAAAATAACACACAAATTTAGGATGAAGCCTGGAAGAGGTTGATTCCCCAAATGAGGTGGCAGTTGAACGTATGAAGGGAGGGAAATGATTAATGCAGTGTGGTAAACTGCATAAGAAAACTGCATTATTATTAGCAGTACTTGGTCACCTCTTATCCCTATCATAGTTCCACTAAACCAATTATTTAAAATGTAAATGCTCCTGTAACTAAATTATTGCAGTTACTAAACTATTAATGAAATGTTAAGTCTCAATACTGAGGTAAATTGGACAGAACTGTTGTGTTCATGAGTTTTCAGCCAGACTTTGTGACTGAAATTACTCATGTTCTGTGTAAAGCCTACATGAACATCTAAAATTGTTAATGTGCAATGCTGTACTCATCACACTGCTGATCTCTACTGCTGTAATACTAATGATGTAAATAATTTCAGTTCACTGGCCCGTGCACTCCAGCCATCCATTCTGATGATGATGAAGCTTTCAGATGGGACAGCTCATCGCTTTGAAGTAAGTCTGATTGCCATAATAAATAGTAAGGAAACCACTTCCAGTTTTATTTAGAAAGTTGAATTATTACTTAAAATATCAAAGCTTTTGTAAATTATGTATTACCATTGGTTGGTTTGCTTTAGAATCCTTCATATTCAATGTAGCCATACAAAATATTTAATGAAATACCAATCAAAATAATTTCATACCTTGCTCCTACACATGTTCTGCTGAACTGCAATTTATTAGAAGAATATTAATTACTGGAAAGCACTATTACATAATATTTGGTTTGATTAAAAGTTATGGGGTTGTTATGAACTGTAACCTTCAGACCTGATGGTGGCTCTTGAGGGCAGGAAAATTATTGGGGTAGTTTAAATGATGTATGACACACTTCTAAACTTTCTGCATTTGGCAGAGAATGGTAACATTCTTTTATGTGGCAGGGGTAGTTTTATTCTTTTTCTTCAGAACTGTTCTGGCTGCTAGAAGGTAAAAAAACCCTCTTTGCTTGTTACAGGATTAGTCAGTGGCAGTATTTATGACACTGTACCTAAAGGCTTGCCAGAAGATGGCATAAACTCTTCCATAATTTTAACCTTTGAAAAGGAATGCTATTTGTTCTATAAATAACGTGGTGGTGCATACAGGAATTCAATGCACAGCAGGCATTGTAACATTTGAACTCTGTACTGATTTTGGCTTCAGTTCCCTCATTAGCAGTAGTCTGGAAGAAGCACCAAAGTCTTGTGGGTTGAAAGAGGTGGACTGATTTTACTGTTAAATTGTTATGCAAGAAAGCATCTACTGAGGAAGGCATAAATTCTGTGCTACATTGCAAACTGTTGAGGGTGTCACTTCACAGGAGACAAAATTTACCCCTCTGGACAGTCCAGTTCAGAGCATCCCATACACTGTATTTCAGGACTTCCATTAAGTGGAACTTAAATGATATCATGGACTTCAGGTTAACCCTTTACAACAGGGTAAGTTTCACTTGTGAGAATAAAATCTAGTTTGTACTCTATTCGCACTATTTCCTGGCATATAATGTCAAGTGTTGATCTTGGTGCCATTGTTTCTGACTGTTTTAGCTTGATTTTAGGGTTTGAGGTGGGTTTTTTTTTTTGTCATTGTGGGTCTGTGGAAGACCCTGTGTTATTCTGCAGTGGAGATGTGTTTGTCCAGCACACGCAGGAGTGCAGATATCTGATAACAAACAGTGTGCTTCTCTTAGAATCAGCTCTTTGCTGTTGCTGCTGCTTGGATCTGAATGCCAAGGGTGTGACTGAAAACAGGATTTCTATAGCTGATAAGTGGTCTTCTCACAGTTAGTATCTCTTTGGGATAAACTTGGTTTTGGTTCAAGGTATCATATGCAAGTAAATACAGCCTCAGATCTTCAGTTTTCCTTTATTTGAACACGTTCAGAATGTCCTGCTAACTCAAAGGGCTTATGTAAGATGGTAAGTCCAGAAAATAATTCTGTTGTGTACAATTTTGAAATGTGCATAGAAGTTACACTCCTTGGTCTCCATTTGGTGTTTTAATCACAGTGTGACTTCTGACTGAATTTTTTTTAAAAAAAAAGCAGTGGGAATTGCAGCATTTTGAGTCTTGTTGTATATATGTCAAAAGTGAAAAGGACGTGGTGCCTTTTTATGCATTTCTGATGTATGTGGAAAATGCAAATCAGGTGTTGGATTCCTCTCATGTAATTGGTATCTGCTACAGTGGGCAGAAGGATGACAAGGGTCTCTGCCAAAAGAACTGCTGTCTTCAGTGCAGTCAAAGGAGTAAATTAAGCAGTGCTGTGCAGACTGTGTGGGACCAGCCAGACTGCACTGGGCACTTGTGTGAGCATGTGTTTGTGCACTGCCCCAGTGCCACCAGTCTGTGCCACCAGTCTGTGCCTACTCTTGGCTGGGGGCCTCTGTCTTCATAGATAAGATTTCCTTCCACTTACAATTTCTTGGGCTTGAAAGGAGAGCCCATGAGTCTCCTGCACAGTTGAAAATGCTTTTTATATTTAATCCTAAATATTTTGCCTTCCACATGTAGTGCTCAGTGCCATTTGCTCTTGAGTTTGCTGCCAAGTCTCTTTTCTCAAGTCTCAATTTCTTTCTCTTGCAAGTTTGGACAAGCAGAGTATCTTGAATTTGTTGCTTGAGAATTCTATAGTCCATGACCTTCCAGATGTCTTCCAGTCCATGACTTTTATATCACCCAAGCAGCTCTCAGTTTACATCCTCAAGTATTTCCTTTCTCTCATCAGGCAATACAGAAAATGTATCATGTAGGTGTTATTTCTGGCTTTTCCCACTCTCCTTTTCCACATAGATTTAGTCGGATTAACTGAATAAGTATTTTAAGAGAGATTGGCCTTGCACTGCAAAATGTTCCGTGTCCATAGACATGACCTAGTCAAGGTTCCTGCCATGTCCTGTGTTTTCTAACCTGAGTGTTCTGTTTCAGGTGCCAGTTGCCAAGTTTCAAGAACTGAGATACAATGTTGCCCTTATACTGAAGGAAATGAATGATTTGGAGAAGAGGAGCATCCTGAAGATCCAAGACTAAACACTTCTAAATTGAGAGTTTATGGAAGAGATCTGAAACCCTCAGCATGTTTTGTGAATGCAAAACAGGGGACCATCACCACTTTGCCTCTATGAACTTCAATGTGGCATTTATGATGTCTGCTGTAAATATTTTTTTCCAATCCAAGTGTTAAAAGCTCAAACTCTTTTTGTAAGACTTAAGAAAAACAAAACATTTATCTATGAAAAAGTATAATGTTGTTTGTGAACATTTTTGCATGATTCATCAAAACTTTTTTTTAAATAACTGTCTTAATAGATGTAAGAGTCATTTATTTCTGATTATGATTCATAACTCTAATTTTTTTTAAAGTGTGCTACCGGAAGCCCTAGCAATGTGTATGTATCACAAGAAAACTGCAATATTTCAAATTAAAAAAAAAAAAAAAAGATAACAAACCCACTCCTGCCTTCTAGTATGACAAATGTGATCTTGAGTTTTGCATAAAATTGTTGCCTCTTTTCTTACTATGTGACTAAGGTTTAGCTATGGATATTTAAGGGCTAATTTGGAAGAAAATTGGAAGTCTGTGGATCAAGAAAGAAGTATCATCTGGGTTTCCAGGACTAATTCCATTGAATTACTGCAGTGGGAAGGTGAAATCTGTTTCTTTATCTGGTTTATCAGAATGGGCTAAATAGTAGTAATCTCATAGTTTTGTAGCTGGAAATGCCTGCCTCTTGTTTCATGTGTTGCCTGTGTGTTTGATTCCATGAAATCAGCTGCCACGACTAGGCAGAAACCTCTGACCCTGCAGTGGTGGTGAGCAGCAAGAGGCAGTGATCTTGTAACCCACTAGAGCTCATCAATTGTGCAGATGAAGGGGCTGCCTACAGCCTCTGGGATGGAAGTCACAGGTATGAGGCTATCCAAGCCCCTGGACTGAAAGTAGAGTTAAGCACAGGCTGAAGTTTCCTGAGTTGCTCAGGTATTTGGACTGGATGGTCATTGTAGGTCCCTCCCTTTCTACTGGAAGTCTGTTCTAAGTTACTCCTTTGGTCCATGAGTTTACCTTGGAAGGACTCCCTTAATGTGAAACATGTTTCATTTAAATGCTGTGGGACCACATATATGTCTGTAAAAGCTTTGCTAAAAATGGAATAATGCCTCACTCCTTGCCTGAATGAATTTTCCCCAGCAGCAAAGGGAGGCTGAGAGCAATTGCCCAAAGACCGCAGGCTGTGGCTCTAGGACTCAGTTTGTCAGAATCAGATGTACTTTAGAATGCACATGCCACTGCTACTGTTAAGCATTGGCTTATTCTAGTAAATTGCAGGGTTTCTATCACAGTAATAGCACCCATATTTGTGTCTTTTATGTTTTATGATTGTAGAACTTGCCTTTAACTTCTTCACCCCCTGCAGAAGAATACTGAAATTAAAATTGTGGATTAAAGAGGCCTTTTACACTCCCACAGATGTTTGTGTAGGAAAGGATGACTTGCCTTTTGGATTTAAAAAATCACAACAAGCATAGTAAGACTTATTTGTCATTTTTCTAAAGAGGAGACTTCTTTGACAGCAGTCCATTCCAATTTAAAGACAGCTGAATAGCTGTGGTCCGGAATGCTTTTAAAACCTGTGCAAGAATGTGTCCTGTAGTTTGAAATAAACCATCAGCCAGGATTTCAAATTGTTCAAAAGCTTCCTGTTCCATTTGCTTTGCAGCAGACTCATCAATAACTTCCAGCATTGATCCATCCATACTGCATCTTAGTCTTTTAACTTCCAAGTGGACTGTAGACTGCATTAATTCCTCTATGAAGCTTTCTTGTCTTCCTTCTATACCACCACAGGCTTGAAACAAAACTTACATCCTTGTTACATCATTTCCCTTCTGACTTTTTAGGTTTACATTGTTTCTAACTGAAAATGTATCTCACTGACACAGTGATACTGAACCGAAGCCAAGTTGTTTGGAAGAGAATTCTTCTGCATGGAGGTAAAATGACCTGTTGGTCAAGGCATTTGAAAAATCATTTCTTACTGGTCAGAGCAGAGGAATCCACAAATACCTTCTAGACAGAATGGATTCATTTGGTGGTTCTGTAACAATTGCTCATGTTCTCCAGAAAGGGAAAGGCTACTTGACTGGATTTGTCATGTTCTCTGGACCACTTAACCTTGAGTTTGTCTTGCCACACATTAAGCAGCAGTTTACTGTAATTTGAGGGTCACCGTGTATGCTGATAGTTGCTTGAAAATTTGGGGTGTTCACTCCTCTGTACTTAAGAATTAATTTGGCCTTTCCTCCTGGGAGATTGGTAAAGCAGAACTTGTCACTAAAATGGCAAGTGGGAGTGCATAGTGGATAGTTCCTCAGTTTTGCTAAAATAAGAGTCTTCAAAATATTGCAAGGTTTTTCAGAATTCATAGTGAACTACTTGTTAAATATTTGTTCAATGCTGAAATATCTTCTTCCTTCACATCTAAAATACCCTGGAATTTGAATTTCACTGAATTTCTGGCTGTAGCCCTTTAATTCCAATGCAGAACAAAAGTAATCTTCTAGGAATCTGGGTATGGCTGAACAGAAATTATTTTATCTAAGTCACTCTAGGTTTGGTTACGCTTCAAGGACACATTGTGAATCCCCCTTTCAGTATCATGCAGTGAGAGACACAGCCTGAGTGGGATGCTTACTTTGTCAGTCCTGAGGTCTTGTCAAGCTGATCACTAGTCAGTCATCAATTAGGCAGGCAGGGGTTTGTGTGGGAAGGGCATTGGGGTTTTTTTCTTATTACACAGTTCATGGACCAGTAGGTAACAAGAACATTTTGCAGACTCTGCTGGTGGTTTTCCTTGAGAAACAACACCCTGTGACAGAGTTGCTCTTTCTATTGGTGCCTTGCATTTATTTAAACTGGATCATGTATTTGTGTCTTAATTGTAGTGATTTTCTAACCATGGCATATGAACATAAACTTCTCCATTACACTTTTTCTTTAATTTCCTTTATAGAGCATTATGCCTTTTCTTTCAAGATTAATTAATCTTAAACAGATTTAAAGTAAAACTTGGACTTGATAGTTTCTCAATGTAAACCATGTGTGTATGATAGCAAGGATGCCCACTACACAAAGGAGTAGTCACTGTAGGCAGAATGCAAAAGAAGAGGTAAAGATAGTTGCCAAAAGTCATTCAGAGGTACACATAACACAATAATACAAAATAACACAGAAGAACACATATCTTCTCTTGTTCCCTCTGCATAAGTCAGTGCAGCTTCCTGACATAATGGTCAGGCCCCCTACTTGGTGCTTTTTTGAAATTGCCTCAGCTGCATGGGCCATCAGTCCTAATCTGTTCTTGATATGGACTTACAGCACATGCAGAGCACATGGAAATAAAAAGCCATCTGTGGCTGTATTTGTGATGTGACTTTTCACATCCCTTCTTCCACAAGAGAAGGAGCTCTGTCAGTCTGACTGGTGGTTTGGAATTTCACACTTGGGTTAGTTGTGTTTGAAAGGGGAAAGACAGGTTTATTGGTGGCTTTTGTGGTCTCAAAGCCTGATGCAGTTTATAGGTTCAGAAGAATGTAGTCATGCTCTCATGCTGCCTGTTATGCCAGCCATTAACTGCTGGAATAAGATCAGTATTGTGCTCATTGTCATTAAAAGGAAGAAATTAAATCTCCCTTTGCAGTAAAAAATCATACAAGGGAGATGTGCTCTTCCAGAGTGAGTCACCTCCTCACTTTAACTTTTTCTGTTTAAGTAAAGGATAAATCTGTTCTTGATCTTATGAACAATGCAGGTAGGCAGGAGGGTGCTTTTTTGCCTTTTTATTTTTTTCTTTTGCCTTCTAATCAAGTACACCTCATGACCTACTGCTGCTCCAAATCCATGAATATATGTATGAATGTATGAAAACTCTATGCTTTCAGGATGTGTTATATAAAAACACCCCAGTATATCTAGATTATGTATGATCAATTCACACAGCTGTTTTTGCTTAAAAAGCCTTTGCAGAGCCAGGCCTGAAGTCAGAATCAAATATTTAATAGTTGTTTGACTTCTAGTGAACAGTAAATTAGTATCTTGGCTTTAAAGTATTTTGCTGTTAGTGACTGTACAGCTCACTCTGTACCTGTCACACCCCACCAAGTACTAACATTTACCCAACACCACACATACCAGGAACTAGGAGAGGCAGAGCCAGCTGGTTTCTCCCCTAAAAAGTCACAGAGTTGTTGCCCATGGGCCATCTGTCATAAGGTCAGTCATAACTATTTGCAGGCGTCGGATAAAGGTCTGTGTTCTGAACCCTCCTAAGCACACAGCTCCCACCACAGGGAGTAGTTCATAAGCACAGCTGCTCTTTTCCCTTTAAATTCTTCTGCCATGTCCTGCTGGTAGAAGAGAATTCCCAGAAGTGCATTTTCCCAGTGCCTTTTTGAGACTCTTTTCAGTCCAGAGTGCTCAGACTGCCAGCCAGCTCTGCAGATGCTTTCATACATTGAGAATAGGAACCGTGGAAGTTTCTTGCAGAGCACAAATGCTGATTGCATTTCCTGTGATAAATCTATTCCCCTTTCCTATCTTGAATTCATGTTCTGCTAGAAACCCTCCCTTTATACCATGACTTATCTCTTTAAGTGTCTGCTATGTAACTATGTAAATACTGGTGGCGTATCTCTGATAGAGATTGTCACTGCATTGCTACTGGTAACCAGTGGTTATGTCACTTTCCCTCGCTTGAATAGGCTTTGACTCATAGTGGTTTTCAGGACAATGGTTATAAAATAACACACTGAGAGGTTGCCGAGACTATAGTTTTGCAATAGAGACAACTGTCGACCTCAAGGCTACAAGAAAGCTTTTTTTCTTCTTTTTCTTAAGGGTTTTGCTCTTTTATAGCATGAGATTTTCTTGCATGGAAGTTTGGAAAACAAGAAGTCTATGTTAGCAAGCTGAATCCTGGAGGGAAAACCCCACACTTCTGAGCACAAATGCTCATTATTTCTAACTCTTCTGAAGTACTGCTTAACTGAAACTTTAAGTGCTTCAGTTGTCCCACCTTTCTTTGGATTACTTGCTGGTAGGCTGTGCCATACTTTGGATTATTGTCTGATTTAAGTGATGGCAGAAAGAAGTAATGAAACCAGTGCTTATTCAATTATTTTTTCTAATTAAAGGACTTGCTTGAGAAAATCAGTTACATGTTAAACTTTTTTTTTTTTAAAAAAAAACATTCAAGAACCCTAGAGACAAGGGCCAAGATTTTGGCAGATGCAAAATATCTTCACATCACAGGAATCAAAAGACAATTGAAGAGTCTGATGGCTGGCTAACACTTCCAGGAACATATCTGTTTTTCTGTATAAGCATAATGTTGCCTGCACATGGACACAAACATCACAAAATTAGTGTGTATTGTTAAAAGTTCAAATCCAGATTTTAATCAGCTTTAAACTAATTTTTCTCTTTAAGGTCATTTAAATTTTCTCAAGTATTCTTCCTAAACAAGGTCTTGCAAAACTCAGGTTGCCTCTCCTTTCTTTTATCTTTTCTTCTGTCCATTCAAGCTCCACAGGCAGGGCTTGTCCCTTAATACCTGCTTAGCTCACACAGCCTAAACTGGGGAGCCCAGACACTTCTGCAAGTAAGAAAAAGGAAATTAATTCCTTCATCCCCTCTCTTGAGCTTTGTGAGGAGGCTGATTATATCAGTAATAGGAGATCATCAGAAATTCCAAATTCTGCAGTGGATTTTAGGAGTGTGAAAAGTGCTCTATATTTTTAGAATATAAGTGTATGTATACATAACGTGGACATTTCTGGTAACTGTAAATATGCATAAAGCTGCAAACAAAAAGCATTACACAACTTCTTTTAGAACAGCTTATTTTCTGTAGTAGCACAGGTGATTTTCTCCCTAGACTACATTTAGCATAGACAGTTACACAACTAGTGCAACTCTCTCATCTAACAAGAATTGGTAGGAGCATGCAGATTGAAACGGTCAACAGAGCTGCTCTTAAATAAAACAAAGATACATCACAGGGCACGTGCTTTTCATCTATAGTCTAGCACAGACAGGTAGAGCTGTGCAACATACCACACTGCGAAACTAAATAAACACATTTGGCTTCTAATGTTTTCCTGAGTTGTTCTAAAACCAGGAGTACCTGACATTAAAATAGCTTCACTACTACGCAGATTCCCTTCAAGAGAATGATTAACTGTGTAGCTACAAAGCTTCGCTATTCCAGTTCTAGCAGGAAACGGCATTCTAGCTTTTCAAAAATCACTTCGAGCCGATGTTTCCTTCGCACTACCGGAGGTACCAAACCACCGGACCCTGGAGCGAACCGTGTGTCTCACCGAGGCGCCCGCGCAGACCAGCGGGTCAAACCGAGCTGGGTGCGCGGCGTGCCCGGTGGGCAGCGCTCCGCAGCCCAGCGCCTCGGCTCTCCGCCGGCTCAAACCCCCCGGCGGCGGGGGAAGCGCTGCCGGGACGGGGTGTCCGAGGGGATGGGGGA